AGGCACAGTGTGTAGGGCCCAAGAGACAATGCACAGGGCTTACGGCCATAGCCGGACCATTGCCCGCGGTAGCATCGACTAGAGAAATAATAAAAAAAATTACAATTAGTATTAAATTAGCTAACGGTAATTTTCAAAGGCTGTCGTTTGAAAATGGTTTAGAGAAGAAAGTGTATGGAACAACTTTTGCACCGCTGCCATACCAGCTAGGCGCACTTAACACTCTTCTACTATCCTGACCAGCCAAAGGTAAACGAGGGCCAACATGAGAAATAACCGGTGGTAAACTATTTTGAATTATTACAATTTACTACAATTTAATTACATCATGTAGTAATGGATATGAACAAAGGTCGTTACACAGAGCCGCGTCTAATGGGGGGGGGGGCAAAGGGGGAAATTGCCCTGAATGGAAAATTGTATGGAATTTAACATAAGATCAATGATGGATGTATAGATATTAGATGAACACGGAATTAAACGATAATGGTCCAAAATCTCTTTTAATTTTAAATATCGAAGACGAATTACTCAAATCCTTTAATTGGTCAAATATCATTAAGAAATTTGCCGTTATAAAATCTAGGAAAAAGAGCAATACAGTAGATTCATGCGGTCTGTTTTTTTGTCGTTTTAGACCAAAAAGCCCAGACAAAATGTCAACTACATAGGATAGTCCGATTTCAATTCTGTAAAGATGTAGGGATTCTTTGCCAGCTCTACTAGGTTTTGTAGGAAACAGATTTTTTGCTTTTTCTATGTAAAAAAAAGTGGGTTTTAATATAGAAAAAATCCATTATCTTTTAATTCCGTATCGATCCATACATCCATCATTGCTCCTATTTTGGTTCCCATAGAAAGAATTTTTTAAATCAAAATTAATACCTGAAAACTTATACAAATTAACCAGTAAATTAATTGACCTGGTCGAAATTAATTAAAACCACTTTTTTCTTAAATGTTGCCTATACAAAACTCCTTAAAAACAGGCCGCATGTAATCCCATTAAAATATTCATTTATAACACCATGTTTTTCTAAATGTTAATATTATATTTTTATTTATGTATTTTGGTTATATATTGTTATATTTTATAATAGCAATCAATAAACAAAAAAGTGTAATTTATAAACTAAGTCGATAAATATATTTTTCCTCAAAACTTTGCTTAACCAAAATTATTTTAGGACATCTGGACTTTGGTGAGTTCTAACAGTTATAGCAACTGCTTTTTATTAATACATATTTTTTATTAATGAAGAATGATATTTAATATTTGCTTTAAATTTAATGGTATAATTTCACCGCAGATAAACATGTTTATTAGAATCCACCGTTGAAAATATTATTAATTATGAATTTGTAATCACGTCTAAATTAAAAAAAAAAAAACAATTTTTAGGGGTGGCAAATTTCTTTTGTCCGGGGTCGACAATATACAATGCCGTACTGTGGTACAACTGAAAATTAGCAATATTATAATCGTACAAAATGCAATAAACGTTTGGTATTTAGACAGCTTGCGCACAGGGTTGTCTTGCGAGGGCTGCCCTATGCGTATTTAACCCCTTCGAGTGGCAGCCAGATGCAGCACTATGTGTACACAGACCGACTCGGTTCGACCCCCAATAAGCATAATAATAATATATAATATAATAATATGATGTGCATCGATGGTGTCCGGCCGGCAAAATAAACACCACCGATATTCCTAATGATAATAAACAGTTTTGTATATAATAATAATGTATAAGAGCATATAATAACATCGCAACGAGCGATCGCCGGACAATGATAATTAGGTCGGTGTGATGTTTTCGTTTTGCCTTCATCATAATATCGTTTATGTTAAACCGAGTATACCTATAACTTCCCTCGACGCTTTTACCACATATAACAAAGGCCTACGATATTTATAACAATACATAAGTACTGAATTATAATAATATTATACACGTTGTGCGCTATGCAAAATTGTTTGTTCTGTCTAATCATATTCTTACCGTTTTTTTTTTTCGTTTAAGTACACTTGAAACTATAACCGTTTAACGATAAATGTTGTCTTTGCCCACATATTATGATTGTTAACGTTTACAAACTTGTTCGGGATACGTTTCGAATTATCATCGTTTAATTCAAACGCATATTGCGTTTTATAATAATGTATATTGAATTGAGTGAACGGGTGTGTTTATGGAAATTAAACACTAATACAGTCTGTATCGGAAGTTGTTGTTAATTTGTATTGAACAATATACAACACCTTAGAGTACACTAATTTAAAATATAAAAATGTATTACACATCACTTTTACAAGTGAACCGTTATTTATTTCAAATTTAACGATGGCGGTACACCGCTTTATATTTGTATGTAAAAAGACACGGTCATGCACAGATTATCAAACTTAAGGAATATAATAATTCTGATGGTTCTGCGTTGGTCAATTTCTAAATGCCTGTACCGAAACCATTAATAGTAATAAAATAAAGGCGTGGAGTCCTCTTATAGTTATTGGCAAACGTATGTGTCTTCCGATAATTCGCATGTAGTTTTGGGCATTCAATTTTCTAATATATATATATATATATTATTCTTTTGCAGTGTGGACATGATCGGAGATAAAACCCGCCTTATACATCTTACGATGGTGGCGAAAGCAGAACAGTAGTACCTAGTTCTTATGTAGTTTGTATTAAACATTTAAACGACTACAAGTAGGTATACTGACGGACACTAATATACGTACATATTACATAGCGGTGATGCGCATATGATATGTACCTGTATAGCTGGTTTATATATATATATATATAACATATATGGCCACGAACAATTATAATGGCATTTACTAAGTCATTTCCTGTTGGTTTTAGTTTTTCTCATGGTGTCATTGCGGGTGAAGGGCTATTTTCAATATTATAATAGGTAGAATAATGACCGTGACGATAATAATACCGAAAACGAAAAATAGTGAGCGCATAATATAATATGTACATATATAGGTAGAGATATAAATTAAATTTATTATTCGACAAAAGGCCAAATTTGATTGTAATACCCAATGCACAAAAGGGGTACATAGGCGGTGTTTTATACACGATAACAATGTAATGAAGTTCACGAGAGCGTAAATACATATATAAATATATATATATATATATATGTATAATAATGAATCGTTAGATGATGAGTCGTAGAATCGTTATCTGTGTGCTCTGTGCGCTGCTGAGGTCGTGTGGAGTGTTGCTGCTGTTGCTATATGACTGCTTGTTGGACTGCTGCTGCTGTTGCTGCTGCCTGGGACTGCCGTGAATGCACATAATATAGCTGTTATATTATTTATAGCCCGCAGTTATTATAGTTATCCAAAACTCCAAAGTATGGGGGGGAGGGGGGCGAGAGAAGGCGGCGGTTCCCCTTGCTCTAGCGCCGGGACCGGTCACGATCTGACCGCACCTCGATAACCCCTAATTATCCGGTAGCTCTTTAGTTACCAACAACATTGTAATCGGGGCCAAATGTAATTTGTCCATTTACCGAGCACAATAATTATAACCGAACAGAGAAACGCGTTTATTTTTACCGCTGTTCAGACGCATCATACCTGAGCGCAGGAGATAAATTGTTATAGACAACAGCTGCGGTCCCCGAAAACTTGATTATTAAGATGATTGACAATTATGCGCGAAATCCACGTCGTTCGAAGTACCAGCTCGGAAATGTGTTTGTAAAATTAGCTCCTATAAAGAGTATAATAATCTAATAATAATGATGAAAATAACCTAAGCGTGACAGTGTGTTGTCAGAATAACAGAGGTGACGGCATACATAGCTAAGTTTACTGGTAGAGTTTTAAAATAAAAAGGAACGACATGTTTTGTGCTCTTTTTTTTGTTTTTTTTACGTGACGACTATATTATAATATTGTCTTTTATTGTGGATATATATATATATAGGAAAGTCGACCGAACCGCTTACTCTGGGAACTTTCGATAAAATTAATACAGACCAAAAAAACAGCCACCTCATATACATGCACAAACGATAAGTTAAAAATGTGTTTACTATACATACGCTTGTCAGAGTATTATTTTTATTGTATATTATTGTTATTGTATGACTCGAAATCCTTTTCCTTCTTGCTGTGTTACCCCACCCCCATGTATACCGTGCCGGGCAAGCGCGGGTGCGGAGTAGTGTACATTAGAACGTCGTGTTGCAATCATACCGCGGTGTTTGTGCAAAGATTAAAGGGGTGGGTGCAGATGAAGGAGAAGAAATGTTTATGCAGGGTAAAGCTCTTAGCACCGCACTGCAGCCATCTGGTACCGAAAACGCGTCCCTGAGAGGATTACAAGCTGACGCCGTTGTGTTTTTCTTTTTGGAGGGATAGTGTCGAATCCCAGTGGATATATTCCAATATATTATTGCATCTGACCACCGCAGTATCACAGATTAAACAATATCCTCGCCATGGTTTCAAGTATTAGCTACGAGTGAAAAATACTTCCTAAATTATTATACTTATATTATTTAGAAATAAAGTTTAGGTTTGATTTTTTTTGTTTTGTGTACTCCATGACAGCCAAACGTTAAACTGGATGCGCTCTATAGGCGTATCTTGAGCTAGTTAAAACATAAACTGAATGACGTATAGACTATTGATCTGTCCATAAATATCGAAAAATACACATAGAAAATTAAAGTATTAATAAAAAATGGATTACAAAAAAAAGCACTCATACCGAAACGAAATGGAGCTTTTGAGAACAGCTCTGGTCCCTCTCGACTCTCCAGTATACCTTTGACATTGAAAATTAATTAACAAATAAAAAGTGTAGGTTAAATTAGACTGCTATGTTAAAGCTCAACGACAAATAGCTACGATTAACTGATGATTGACTTAACGTCAGTTAAAAATTAGCTTGACCAAAAAAAGTTTTACATTATTAAATTAAATAATAGAAAACTGTAATTACTTAAGTTTGGTAGCCGTTTTTTATTCAATTTTCTAATATTGATTATAAGGATTTATCGATTTTAAAATACATATTCCTTAAGAGCTTCTATTTCAGAAACACAAATTGTTTTTACATTTATTAAAATTTCTCGCATGTGTGTATCAGCAATTTTGAAAAAACAGTTTTTTTTTCATGTTTACTTAATTTTATTTAGTCTACGTATACATTTATAATGTTACACACAACTGCTACGTTGAACATTTTATTTTTATATTAATTTACAATAAATTATAGTTATAAACAAAAATATCTACATAATTTTAAAAATAACCAATCTTCATTGTAAATCTGTTTTTCGTTACTGATAATATTTTAAATGATCGCGATTGAAACGTTATCCTCCACGCCGTATACGAGGCCCAGCTTGTAGAACATACTGTCAAAAATCTCATTAATGAAAGAATCGATTTCGTCTAGTACATATTGCACCATAGTCGTTTCCGGTGGTATCTGATTGTTGCTCTTTTTGTCCTGAAAATCTTCATTTAATTTATGTGTATAAAATGTGCTCCCTTTTTTGAGTGACGGTAGGTTGCAATAAAGGTCGACAAATCTATCTATATTTAAGTGAAAAACCCTTATGAAATATTTGCTTATGTTTTTTATTTCGAGATCGACCACGTCCTCGTCAATACCGTGTTTGGACAATTTCGACAACGTGTTTGGCTTTAAAGTTGAAGTAAACTCGGTCAATTTTCGAGTGGCGAGTACTATATTTTGGTTAGGTTTCGTTTGCGGACCTATCGAGTAAATAAAGTCCAACGCGTGTGTCATGCATTTGAACCTCGGCCAAGCGATGTAGAGTTTGGTCAGCAGCGAATGAAAACAATGGAAATACCTCGGATGTGACGATTCGGGCGTTTTACTTTCGTTGCGATAGCTGTGGTGTTTGTCCTCTTTTTTTTCGTCTCGGCAAACCCGTATTAATTGTTGTATCAAAGCCCTGTACTTTTCAATAACCTCGGCGTACTTACACCTGAGTACAGTCCAGATCTGATCGTATCTCTGCAACACGTTGATTTCGTCGACCGGATTCCGGTTCGACGACATGGCTTCGTAGATTTCGGACATGGGATCAATGAGTGTTTTTTCGTTATTAATTGTGTACGTTTCGATAATTTTAACGTCGCTCATTAACCGCCATCCCGAATGACGCAACAACATGTTTAATTTGTCAGCTAGTTCCGGTTTTTGTAATTCGGTCATAAACGACACAACGCGTGTAAAACACATTACAGCAACCCAAACTAGTATTAAAAACAACGTATACATTTTCATTGTAGTAGCGTCTTAAAAACAGATCACGGTAGCACTATCCGTTGAAAACCTTCGACTAAAGCACACAACGTTCAATAATTAATTAAATATTAATAGTTGTTTAAACATGTCAAAACTATTTGTCGTTAATATTGACCTAGCTGTGTCCCAATACCACTATGCTCCGTCCCCACTATGCTTCGACCCCACTATAATGGTTTTTAAAAGTATGACGCGTTACGTCGATACACAGGAAAAAAATGGATTATAGTAAATAATTAGAATTACTCTGGAATCTCTTATAATATGGTTGCGCCAACATTATCATTTTATTGAGAATTACCAAACTTTTAACTTAGGTCAACCGTGATCGCTTAGGCGGTACAAATTATAGTTATATTTATTTAATTTGTAAGGTGGAATTTAATAGAATTATTTAATTTTTACACATAGATCTGGTAAAGGTAAATTAATTAATGAATTAACTTCAACATTATAGTATAATAATACCGCTATTATTTATGGTAATTTATCTTTACCTGATCAATGTGTAAAAATCAATTAATTTTTCTAAATTCCCCCTTAAAAATTTAAAAAATAATAATTTATTAATTAATATTTTGTTATAAAACAGTTTTATGCTAAATTTTTAAACACTTCAAATTAAAACCATACGATTTTAATACACATTTATAACAAGAAGATCTACTTAAAACCTTGCAACTTTTTTGTGACTAAGGTAGGAATTTAATACATGCTGGTCTACAAAATTTTATGCCACAGAAGTTATCTCTATGAAATCATTGTTTTAAAATACATTTTTTTTTCTATATAATATAATTCTAATTTATATTTTTTACAATCTTATATGGTAAGTCCAACCTTATAATATAGTTGGTATTAGGTAGATGCAACTAAAATATTTAGTCAATCCTGCTATATTATATAGTTGCTTTAGCTATATATAATTAACTACATACTTTAGTAAAAAATACCAAACAATTTAAAATTATTTCATATTTTGGTACATCTTAACAGTTAATTAAAAACTCAGTCATTAAATAATATTGATAATAATAATAATTCATAATAATATAAATACAAACAAAACTAAAAATCAAATATTAGATAAAAACTTTTTTCAAAAAATAAAAATGTAATACCACATAGAGAACTTTTTTACATTAGAAGCACTAACCTAACATATAAAATAATGTACATTGAACCTTGTCCCCATAAAATCACTCAAATATTTTATTTAATAACAAATTATATTTTTGTAATAAACATAGACGTTTTGTGCCTAATGCTATAGATTTCGACATAGATAGTAACTTTTTGTTCTAAAAGTAAATCGATTATCATGAGTTCAATCAAAGGGTACAAAAAACTTAATTAGTCAAATTTACAATTAACAATTACCAAAAATGTATCATTAAACCATTGTATCTACAACACAAATTAACAAGATAAAATGTCTAGTAAAGCGTATACAATACTCACTAAAGTCGAACATTGATATTTTCACTTTGCAAAAAAAATCAATCCTAGTTTAAAAAATTGGTAAAAAATAAAACACAAAAAATACTATTACTTCTACCTCAACGATACATGATATTCAAATACGTCATTTTCTCTGAAATTTATTGGAAACATTATTCGAGCAAAACAAAAAAAGATTTCAGTCGTCTTGTTGGTAGCAAAAAATCTTTTAAAAAATAATGTGTAAAGCTCAATGACAAAAAGTTACGATTAACAGCGATTAACTAATGATCCTAGGCTTTCATCAACTAAGACTTAGCTAAAAGTTTACCCAATTGTATTAGTACAGGACGTAAGTAAGGTGAACTCAAGCCTACATTTATTACTAGTTTACAAGTGAATATATTATAACACATAAAATATTAATTTTATTATAAGAAATATATATATCTGCTGAAATTCTATTTAAAAAAATATTATGATATCGCAGAATGCTAATTTATATTTGTAGAAGTTATTGACGTTAAATTATTATAATGTACTTAACATCAATTAAAAATTAGCAAAATTCATCATATTGATTAACAGGCTTATAATAAGGAGCCAGAAACTTCTATTCACGGTAAATTTTATTTATTGGCTTATAAGGATTTATGGTTTTCAAAATACATGTTTTCTTGACAGCTTTTAGCTGTTCTGTAACATGAATTGTATATTATGTTTATTAAAATTTGTCAAACCATTTGTCTGATGGCGATTGAGTTCAAACAGTTCGTTTTCGTAATGTTTACTTAAAACAATTCAGTATACGTGTACCTACATGTTGTGCACATGCCACGTTGAACATTTTATTTACTAATAATAATAATAATAATTTCGATACTGATAATATTTTAAAAGACCCGGATTGAAACGTTATCCTCCACACCGTATACGAGGCCCAGATTATAGAACAAACTACCGAAGATTTCATCAATGAAAGAATCAATTTCGTCTAGTGCATATTGCAATATAGTCGTTTCTCGTGGTATCAAATTTTTGCTCTTTTTGCTCTCAAAATTTATATGCAACATATTATTATGTGTATTCCATTCTTTGAGTGACGGAAAGTGGCAATAATGGTCGACAAACCTATCTATGTTTGAGTGAAAAACCCTTATAAAATATTTGCTTATGTTTTTTATTTCGAGATCGACCACGTCCTCGTCAATACCGTGTGTGGACAATTTCGACAACGTGTTTGGCTTTAAAGTTGAAGTAAACTCGGTCAATTTTCGGGTGGCGATTGCTATAGTTTGGTTAGGTTTCGTTTGCGGACCTATCGAGTAAATAAAGTCCAACGCGTGTGTCATGCATTTGAACCTCGGCCAAGCGATGTAGAGTTTGGTCAGCAGCGAATGAAAACAATGGAAATACCTCGGATGTGACGATTCGGGCGTTTTACCATCGTTGCGATAGCTGTGGTATTGGTCTTCTATTTTTTCATCTCGGCAGACCCGTATTAATTGTCGTATCAAAGCCCTGTACTTTTCAATAACCTCGGCGTACTTACACCTGAGTACAGTCCAGATCTGATCGTATCTCTGCAACACGTTGATTTCGTCGACCGGATTCCGGTTCGACGACATGGCTTCGTAGATTTCGGACATGGGATCAATGAGTGCTTTGTTTTTTCGTTATTAATTGTGTACGTTTCTATAATTTTAACGTCGCTCATTGACTGCCATCCCGGATGACGCAACAACATGTTTAATTTGCCAGCGAGTTCCGTTTTTTGTAATTCGGTCATATAAACGACACAACGCGTGTAAAACACATTACAGCAACCCAAACTAGTATTGAAAACAACGTATACATTTTCATTGTAGTAGCGTCTTAAAAACAGATCACGGTAGCACTATCCGTTGAAAACCTTCGACTAAAGCACACAACGTTCAATAATTAATTAAATATTAATAGTTGTTTAAACATGTCAAAACTATTTGTCGTTAATATTGACCTAGCTGTGTCCCAATACCACTATGTTCCGTCCCCACTATGCTTCGACCCCACTATAATGGTTTTTAAAAGTATGACGCGTTACGTCGATACACAGGAAAAAAATGGATTATAGTAAATAATTAGAATTACTCTGGAATCTCTTATAATATGGTTGCGCCAACATTATCATTTTATTGAGAATTACCAAACTTTTAACTCAGGTCAACCGTGATCGCTTAGGCGGTACAAATTATAGTTATATTTATTTAATTTGTAAGGTGGAATTTAATAGAATTATTTAATTTTTACACATAGATCTGGTAAAGGTAAATTAATTAATGAATTAACTTCAACATTATAGTATAATAATATCGCTATTTTTTATGGTAATTTATCTTTACCTGATCAATGTGTAAAAATCAATTAATTTTTCTAAATTCCCCCTTAAAAATTTTAAAAATAATAATTTATTAATTAATATTTTGTATTTTATAAAAACAGTTTTATGCTAAATTTTTAAACACTTCAAATTAAAACCATACGATTTTAATACACATTTATAACAAGAAGATCTACTTAAAACCTTGCAACTTTTTTGTGACTAAGGTAGGAATTTAATACATGCTGGTCTACAAAATTTTATGCCACAGAAGTTATCTCTATGAAATCATTGTTTTAAAATACATTTTTTTTTTCTATATAATATAATTCTAATTTATATTTTTTACAATCTTATATGGTAAGTCCAACCTAATAATATAGTTGGTATTAGGTAGATGCAACTAAAATATTTAGTCAATCCTGCTATATTATATAGTTGCTTTAGCTATATATAATTAACTACATACTTTAGTAAAAAATACCAAACAAATTAAAATTATTTCATATTTTGGTACATCTTAACAGTTAATTAAAAACTCATTCATTAAATAATATTGATAATAATAATAATTCATAATAATATAAATACAAACAAAACTAAAAATAAAATATTAGATTAAAACTTTTTTCAAAAAATAAAAATGTAATACCACATAGAGAACTTTTTTACATTAGAAGCACTAACCTAACATATAAAATAATGTACATTGAACCTTGTCCCCATAAAATCACTCAAATATTTTATTTAATAACAAATTATATTTTTGTAATAAACATAGACGTTTTGTGCCTAATGCTATAGATTTCGACATAGATATCTATGTTTTTGTTCTAAAAGTAAATCGATTATCATGAGTTCAATCAAAGGGTACAAAAAACTTAATTAGTCAAAATTACAATAAACAATTACCAAAAATGTATCATTAAACCATTGTATCTACAACACAAATTAACAAGATAAAATGTCTAGTAAAGCGTATTCAATACTCACTAAAGTCGAACATTGATATTTTCACTTTGCAAAAAAAAATCAATCCTAGTTTAAAAAAATTGGTAAAAAATAAAACACAAAAAATACTATTACTTCTACCTCAACGATACATGATATTCAAATACGTCATTTTCTCTGAAATTTATTGAAAACATTATTCGAGCAAAACAAAAAAAGATTTCAGTCGTCTTGTTGGTAGCAAAAAATCTTTTAAAAAATAATGTGTAAAGCTCAATGACAAAAAGTTACGACTAACAGCGATTAACCAATGATCCTAGGCTTTCATCAACTAAGACTTAGCTAAAAGTTTACCCAATTGTATTAGTACAGGACGTAAGTAAGGTGAACTCAAGCCTACATTTATTACTAGTTTACAAGTGAATATATTATAACACATAAAATATTAATTTTATTATAAGAAATATATATATCTGCTGAAATTCTATTTAAAAAAATATTATGATATCGCAGAATGCTAATTTATATTTGTAGAAGTTATTGACGTTAAATTATTATAATGTACTTAACATCAATTAAAAATTAGCAAAATTCATCATATTGATTAACAGGCTTATAATAAGGAGCCAGAAACTTCTATTCACGGTAAATTTTATTTATTGGCTTATAAGGATTTATGGTTTTCAAAATACATGTTTTCTTGACAGCTTTTAGCTGTTCTGTAACATAAATTGTATATTATGTTTATTAAAATTTGTCAAGCCATTTGTCTGATGGCGATTGAGTTTAAACAGTTCGTTTTCGTAATGTTTACTTAAAATAATTCAGTATACGTGTACCTACATGTTATGCACATGCCACGTTGAACATTTTATTTACTAATAATAATAATAATAATTTCGATACTGATAATATTTTAAAAGACCCGGATTGAAACGTTATCCTCCACACCGTATACGAGGCCCAGATTATAGAACAAACCACCGAAGATTTCATCAATGAAAGAATCAATTTCGTCTAGTGCATATTGCAATATAGTCGTTTCTCGTGGTATCAAATTTTTGCTCTTTTTGCTCTCAAAATTTATATGCAACATATTATTATGTGTATTCCATTCTTTGAGTGACGGAAAGTGGCAATAATGGTCGACAAACCTATCTATGTTTGAGTGAAAAACCCTTATAAAATATTTGCTTATGTTTTTTATTTCGAGATCGACCACGTCCTCGTCAATACCGTGTGCGGACAATTTCGACAACGTGTTTGGCTTTAAAGTTGAAGTAAACTCGGTCAATTTTCGGGTGGCGATTGCTATAGTTTGGTTAGGTTTCGTTTGCGGACCTATCGAGTAAATAAAGTCCAACGCGTGTGTCATGCATTTGAACCTCGGCCAAGCGATGTAGAGTTTTGTCAGCAGCGAATGAAAACAATGGAAATACCTCGGATGTGACGATTCGGGCGTTTTACCATCGTTGCGATAGCTGTGGTATTGGTCTTCTATTTTTTCATCTCGGCAGACCCGTATTAATTGTCGTATCAAAGCCCTGTACTTTTCAATAACCTCGGCGTACTTACACCTGAGTACAGTCCAGATCTGATCGTATCTCTGCAACACGTTGATTTCGTCGACCGGATTCCGGTTCGACGACATGGCTTCGTAGATTTCGGACATGGGATCAATGAGTGCTTTGTGTTTTTCGTTATTAATTGTGTACGTTTCTATAATTTTAACGTCGCTCATTGACTGCCATCCCGGATGACGCAACAACATGTTTAAATTGCCAGCGAGTTCCGTTTTTTGTAATTCGGTCATAATAAATGACACAACGTGTGTAAAACACATTACAGCAACCCAAACTAATATTGAAATCAACGTATGCAAATTCATTATGGTAGCTTAAAAAAAAAGCAAAACACGGTAGCACAATTGGATGAAAACCTTCGACTGAAGCTCACAGTGTTGATAAATTTAATTGAAATTTGTATTTGTTTAAACATGCTAAAATTATTTGCCAATAAAATTCTCGTCGAGCACTTTATTTGTTAAGCATGTCGTGTTACGGCGATAACGTTGTTTAAAAATATCTATAATTGTACTCAGATGTACAAATACACATGCAGGTATGACAAATGAAGCAATATATGATTTTTTCAATAAAAAACACTTGTATCTTTTATATTGTCGTCCCGTCACAGAATCTACCGCGTTAACAAATATATATACATTGATTCAAAAAAATAGTTTGTTACTACCCCCTGCAATCTGTATCGTTTGAAAAAAAGAAAAAATGCTTAAAATTGCAACCTTCCAGGACAACACTAAGTGGTTATTATAGAGCCATATTATTCCTATTCGATTAGCACATAAAAATACATTTTTCATTAAAACCGCCGTAACATTAAAATTATAAATATTAAAAAAAAAAAAGATTTTGAGAGCTGACATTTGTACCATTCAACAAAAAGTTCTAAAAGTAAATAGAATATTATGAGGTCTACCTAAGTTTGCGATAGTGCTATTTGAAGTTATATAGAACGTTTTTGCACTGAATAAGTACTTTGATTCTTAACGTATTGTGCTCTTTAATAGCTAAAGAAACGCGCCGTAAAATTCATAGTTTATTAAAGACGAAAAAATGAATTTTACAAAAAGACTCGCATCAAAACTTTTGGATATAATTTGTAGTTTTTCTGCGTTTTTTAATTAGGTACAATAACATAGAGTTAGTCAAATTAACAATAAACTAACGAAAAATTGTAACTATTTACAGGTTACATATGTTATTTATTGATTTCTAAGAATTTATTGATTTTAAAGTACATATTTTTTTAACAGGTATTGTTTCAGCAACGCAAATGGATTTATGTTTAATAAAAAAATTTAAATCTGCGTGAGCGATTTTGCTTAAACAGTTCATTTTTTTTATGTTTACTTAATTTTATTTAGACTACGTGTACATGAATAATGGTACTCACACCTGCTACGTTGAACATTCTATTTTAATATCAATTTACAATAAATTATAGTTTTCAACAAAAATATCTACATAATTTAAAAAATAACCAATCTTCATTGTAAATCTGTTTTTCGTTACTGATAATATTTTAAATGATTCCGATTGAAACGTTATCCCTTACGCCGTACACGAGACCCAGCTTGTAGAACATACTGTCAAAGATCTCACCAATGAAAGAATCGATTTCGTCTAGTGCATATTGCAATATAGTCGTTTCTCGTGGTATCAGATTGTTGCGCCTTTTGTTCTCAAAATCTTCTTTAATATTCGGTGCATTCCATACTTCCGAAAAGTGGCAATGATGGGTGACAAACCAATCTATGTTTGAGTGATGTACATCTTTGAAATATTTGCTAATGTTTTTTATTTCGAGATCGACCACGTCCTCGTCAATACCGTGTGTGGACAATTTCGACAACGTGTTTGGCTTTAAAGTTGAAGTAAACTCGGTCAATTTTCGAGTGGCGAGTACTATATTTTGGTTAGGTTTCAACTTCGGACCTATCGAGTAAATAAAGTCCAACGCGTGTGTCATGCATTTAAACCTCGGCCAAGCGATATAGAGTTTGGTCAGCAGCGAATGAAAACAATCGAAGTACCTTGGATGTGACGGTTCGGGCGTTTTACCATCGTTGCGATAGCTGAGTAATTGCTGGTATTTGTCTTCTTTTTTTTCGTTACGGCAAATCTGTATTAATTGTCGTATCACAGCCCTGTAATTTTCAAGCACCTCGGCGTACTTACACCTGAGTACAGTCCAGATCTGATCGTATCTCCGCAACACGTTGATTTCGTCGACCGGATTCCGGTTCGACGACATGGCTTCGTAGATTTCGGACATGGGATCAATGATTGCTTCGTGTTTTTCGTTATTAATTGTGTACGTTTCTATGATATTCACGTTGCTCATTAACCGCCATCCCGAATGACGCAACAACATGTTTAATTTGTCAACTAGTTCCCGTTTTGGCAATTCGGTTATAACCGACACAACGCGTGCAAAACACATTACAGCAACCCAAACTAGTATTGAAATCAACGTATGCAAATTCATTATGGTAGCGTCTCAAAAAACAGAACACGGTTGCACTATTCGATGAAAACCTTCGACTAAAGCTCACAGTGTTGATACATTTAATTAAAACTTGTATTTCATTAAACATGTCAAAATTATTTACCAATAAAATTCTCGTCGAGAATAACAAATAAAGTGTATTTGTTAAGCATGACGTGTTACGTCGATAACGTTATTTAAAAGTAATGCGTTTTTTTTTTTCATTTTTCCAAGTAGAACGCTTAATACATAGTTTAGAAATAACGACTATTTTAACATTTTTAAATGACTGTAACTTTTCAAAAATGAATTTTTTGTCCGTCTTGCCCTCCGGAATATTGTTCTCTTTTAATTGTTTTAATTGGTGCTTTTTTACTCTGAAACCAAATTTTATTTTCAGTCGGCGTAAGTATGTTTTTACCACTTAAAATCAGTTTTTTGAGCATGACGCATTACGTCAATAACGTTATTTAAAAATAAATGTAATCGAAAAGGAATGCATGTAGGACAAAGTTAAGCTAAACGAACGCGTGCAAAAGCTTTAAAGAATAATCACGTTGATTGGTAATAGACAGAATAGTTGTTCGAGTCTGAGTATCTGTGAATCTGGTTTAATTTGAAGTTTGAACTGCCATTTATAATTGGAATCAACATTATATTGAATCAATAAACTTGGAACCAATAATTCGGGAATCCTTTTTTACATGGAAACGATAAACCTTGAAACGATAAACTCGGAATCAATCATTTTTTTTTTAACAATTTTTTCTATTCGACTCTGTTGTGAGTCCAAATAAGTCCCGAGTCACTCGGTATCAAGCAGTCGCTCAGTCGCTTCAACTAAAAAAGCAAAATAAAGAAAAAATGTCCACTCTTTTTCTATCTAGGAAAAGAGGTCTAAATTTTTTCGAGTCGCCTAGATGAAGCTTATGTTCCTGTCGGCGGCCTAAACATAGTCCGTGCTCCGTTTCTGAATTATTTTATATTATTGTTATGAATATAACTAATAATTCTACACATCATACAGGCTATAATACATATTATGCATGCGTAGAAGTAAAACCGTGTTAAGATAAGAGGACAAATATATCTCGGATGTGTGGTAGCCAGGACTTTGTGTTTACCGAGAAATCAGTTTACCGGCACCGGATCAAAGTGGCTCTAGACGAGGTGCGTGCTGATCCGACTCTTGGCGTTCCATCCGGTCGCGCGAAAATCAAAAGCCGACCTTCCGCCGTCGCCGTAATCCGGCACCCTTTCGCGCCCTCGTCAGCCCTTTGCGCCGGCTAAATTGTTTTCCTTTTGCTGCCGCGTGACACGCGTAAGTGTGCAAAAGGGGATGAAATGTATTATTATATACACCTACCGCCGTTTTCCTAACCGGTCGCCGTGTCGTCGTCGCTCCCTTCGCTTTACGCACACACTTTGTCTTGAAATTAAATAACGGCTGTGCGTTCTCCTGAGTCGTGTATAGGCTTGTGTATCACGACAACGGTGTTTAAGTCCGGGCCCGCGTTCGTGTGTGTGTATACAAATATGATAACAACATATATATATACAATAATATAAATATTATATTAGCTGTACCACCTACCCTTGTATAATATGTACGCGCTTTGGAGCACAACTCGATTTATAACGCCCGCCGCCGTTGTCTGTCAAAGTGACACGACCGCCGACGTTTCGCATGGGGCATACATAAAAGAAAGTTTATCGATTATTATTATTATTAGGTATGCGTACAATATTTTTAATGTCTTATCCGCATGCCAATAAACAGTACATACACAGTCTATACTCTGCGACGGGGCGTCGCGGATTTGACTCGCTCAAAAGTGTGAACGATCAGAATAATGCGGACAAGACGTTTTTACGCACCGCGAATAATTCTTAATCTATGACAATTATTATACTGCATGTTATACTATGAAGTATGTTCTTGTGTTTGTAGTAGCCGCACACGTGTGTATGCCAAGGCGGACTATGAGTGATACCAGCCTAGTAGACAATACCAAAGGCGATACCGTGGTTAGGGAGCGACCCAATACTAGCATTTGGTCACCGACCATGTCAACTGTTTGATTTAAAAAAAAACAAATCGCAAAGACGATTAGGACAGAAAATAAAAACTTTAAAAATTGAATATCGAAGTACCCAATCGTTATTTGGGCATATCGTGCCAGTATAAATAATAATATGGCGTTTAATAGTAGGCTTCATGTGTGCAATCTAATTAAATGTCTTTGTGTTTGTTAATTAAAGTTCAAGTATTAGGATTATTAATATAAATATCGGTAGGTAAGAGCGGGCGGAATACACATTTCACATTTTATGGCATAGATCATTTTGGTAGGCACGCTGTATTTACATTTTTTTTAAAAACTTATTTATCGCTTTTGTAATTACACATTATTGCACGTATTTACATATTATATTTATATTTCACACTATGCCGCTGTACTAACAACAGCGCGCGAATGGCGGCTGTTTTGTGTATTGTACATAAACGTGGCGTTTTTGTTTTTGGATAGCTCCGGTTTCATTGGTCGGCGACTATACGTGTTATTATTTAGACAAGACAAGACACGGTGGTAATAGAAGACATGACTGTTCGGTGTGCGCGTTCATTAGACGGTAATAATATAATAAGTACCGGCGGCGATCAGGACATTAGTTAACAGGCGTGCGCCAGCATACACACGCACACACACACACACACAGAGCAGCAGCTATTACTGAGGCTGCTCATTACCGTGACCCTAAAATTGTCTATTAAATCTATAACAAGTCACGCGGCGGCGGTAATGAGAGCCGAGTGTATAGATAGGTATATGGATTATAATAAGATACCGAGTCAACGGTGCTGTGTTATATATGTATCGCGGTTAGGTCGGACGAGAACAAGTGCATTATATTATGTGTATACTCGACATATTAAGTTGTCCGGACGACGATTCATCATCACTGGGCGAACGTACCGGACTGTGTGCATGTGTGTGTGTGTGTGAACGACAAATTACACCGATTTTCTTCTCTATCGTCTTGAAGTCTAAACGACCGCCACCGACGACTCGTTTGTGTTTTTTTTTTTTTGTTCTTGTGGCATACTCGGGGACCCGTCGATTTGTTAACGGCAAAATTTACCTTGGGGGCAACAGAACAAACGCTCACGGTAGTACAAGCATATAGTGTGACACGGTCACTGCAAATGACTTGACCGGCAACCGCCGCCAGTACCTAATAATAAAAAAACCGTGATAGAACAGACGGTTTTTCAAATGTGTACAAATTTAAATTACCGTTCTGCGTCGAACGTACAGATTTTTCTAAACGATACGCACCGACTGTAAACGTGTACGGCCGCCGAGGGGAAAAAATATGTATAAAATGTGTAATTACAAACGTACATTTTTTAATATGTTCCGCAGCTCGCTTCGTTTCATCCTTATGCAATTAATAATAATAATAATAATAGACACGTTAACGAGCGTACCGCAATGTAATACAATATACATATGACACAGGCAAAACGTTAAAATAATTGTCGCTCACGCGAAATGGCAGCGTGCAAGAATTATACTACAGATTTTTATCTGCCGCTCGTCTGAGGTCATTTCAATTAAAACAAATTCACATTTTGTCTCTGAACAATATAATAACATGATGGCCGAATCTTTTGCCGTCACGCAATAATTATTATATTTGGTCGGTTATTTTCGCGTTGAGCAAAATTAATAGGACACGATATTAATCGAGACGCGAGGAATAATTATTACAACTGCGCCCATTCAACGCGCAAACTGTTTATTTGGATATTTTTAAATATAGTACAAATGTATATTAAAAGGTGTGTAGCAAAACCAGTACGGTGGTTTTGTATAATATACTATTATTATTTATTAATATAAATCTATGTCTAGTATGATAAGTATTATAATATAATAACTTCCGAATAATTAAATAATAATTATAAACATTTCGATTTATTCTACCAACAAGCATATACTCGATTAACTAAATACGTTGTATCAATCGTTGTATGCCAATATGAAACCAAGCACAGATAAACCAGCATAGTCCAAACCAAGTACAGTCCAAACCAGAACAGTAAGAAATTACCAAAGTGGAGTCCAGTATCCACAGATTCGCATCGAAGCGTTTTCTTGAATGTGATTATACTACTATTTCTAAATCACAGGTATAAAAGAACGAAATAATGTACCTAAACTAGTTCTATATAGTTTAGCATATGACAGAAGGTCCTATAAATCGGTACCAGTCTTCAATATTGTAGCACTTTTATAAACCAACATAATAAGAGGTTAATATAATGAAGTCGGAACAACATTAGACACCATCTGGTTATGAAGTATTAATGCCATTTAAAGAAAATAAGACAACTGGCAGTCGTTACCTATCATAAGAATAAATTCTTTCACAACTCTGTAAGTTATAAGACAACTACCTAGTATAATATAGCCAACAAAGTAAAGTATAATTAACTAAAATAAAAATAGTTCGTAAATGTAAAGTTTCTAAAAAAATCTCATTAGAATGTGCTGGTTTTTACTGTGCTCAATTCAGCCTTTGCTTGGTTTGGATTGTGCTTGGTTTAGACTGTGCTGGTTTGGACAGTGCTTGGTTTTTTTTCATTATATTTTTTAGTATAGAAACGTTGTTTATTTTATATTTTTTTGTTCGAGCTGATGATGATGCAGCTTAAACAAAATTAGACGTATCTATGGAAATAATTCTTAATAAAAAAAGAAACAATAAATATTGATATATTATAATAATAATTGTCGCAATCACAACATTGTATTTGTTTATAGTGTAGGCAAAGGAAGCCATAAACTGAACTGTCCCCTACAACTCTTGTGGTAAGTACCTAAAGCGTTTTTATTATTAATTTCTTAACTTAAACCTATTATAATAAGTATCTTTTATAATTTTTGTACGTATAGACCTTATACTTGAAAGGTCAATGTACTTGTTTAATATGTTGATTAATAATATATATATATATATTACTATTTCGTTTTTTAAAAATACTTTGGGTTACCATAAACGTACTATTTTTACTC